GATTATCATAGCCATTAACAAAGCGATTGTGATGCACGAGTTGACTTTGCCTCGTTTAAACCATTGCTAGCATATACCAGAGCAGGGTTCAAGGTTTATTAATATTTCTTCTAGAAGATGCAGATTTTTTTCTTCCTCTGCTTGTCACTTGTGGGTGGGTGGGCCAGGTGCCCGCCAAAGCTGCCCTATCGCCTGGACAGGGGAGCAAAAATATAACAAAAGGCTTGTTAAGAGGAAGAGATCATTTCTCGGGGACAGCTGGAAATACTGGATATTTTCAAAATACTTAAGGTACTTTTAAAAGCATTACCACTTTACGTACTAGCTCCTCAAGGTAACAACTTTGTCTTTAGTCTTTGCACGTGTTAGGAGAATATGCTGCTATTTCTGCTTCTGAATCACTGGAGGAACTAATATGAGTGCATTTTAAAGTCACAAGATTCACTGTCCATGAGCCTGACTCCTGTTGTTTTTTTAGTTTGTCTGGTTTCAGACAAATTGTCTGAAATTCACCGTTACCTTTTTCTACAAGATTAAATAGCCTTTAGTAGCTAGTGTGCTTTCTTGAGCAAACTACACTATGAACAAGTTGTGTATGTCTTTTCTGTGAAAACTTAAGCAGTTTTAGTATCTTAAGTTTTGCTGCAGAAGGCCTTTTCTTCTAATTTTCAGGTATATTTTGTATTATGTAGTGATGTGTTAGCAAGTATTTAGCTTTGATAATAGAAGAGTACATAAAGAAGCCCATTCCAAAGAAAAGAAATAGTTGTGAGTAGCACAACTACCGATGTTTTCTTTTTAAGTGTAATGATTATACCCTCAAGTGAATAATAAGAAAGGTACTAAATGCACCTCTTTTTCTGAACCTTGTAGGAGCTTAATACTCCTTTGTCCTTTATCTCCTTAAAAGATTTAGTTGGCTGCTTGACTAATGCTGTATTCGGATATAAAAAAGCTTTTATTCCTGCTTGCTGCTCTGTACATCTGAGGATCTGCTCTACCCTCAAACAGAAGAATTACACTGAGAGCTTAAGTTCTTTTTTCTTCCTTCTCCCCCTGCCTCTCTTCCTACTAGACTACCTAAACTCTTTGGTACTAGTAATTGAGGATACTGATGCTCATTCCTGTTGTTGATGTGATCTGTAGTCCTCGAACCTTGTAAGACATCTTATTTGGATGTATTAAAAATTTTGATGTTCAAACAAGTCCATTAGGATGAGTCTACATAGTATGTCCAAATAATTTGCCATTTTATGATGTAGTGTTTTAGCAGTAATAATTTAATACATTATAACATCGTAACCATATGGAATACCACTGGGTCAGGAGGGCATTGCTGCGGGATACCAACAGAAAGTCTGGGGTTTTTAGGTTGCCTATTCCCTATTGATACTTACTTGGAGTTTTACCAACCTTAATTATTTTGAATCTACTTAATATTGTTCTTAGTGAACTCACATTTGGTAGTGTTTTGTCATTAAAATGTCATGTGTATCTAATTCGGGCATTTTACAGAAATTAGAGCACATATTAAGATAGTTGTCTTAAGCAGTTTTCATACTTTTTGGAAAGTCACATTTGTGTATTAACACGTGTTTCCAATTAAACAGTACAAATTAGTACTTATATCATCCCGTTCATAGCTCATATTAGCTTGTTAGCGGTGTTACTATGGATTAATTAATAGGCAGCACTATCCAGCTTATAATTACTGAAGTTGTTCCTTTTAAAAATATTGTCACAATATTTACTTTTTCTTAGATCTATCTTTTCTAGTAATTTGATATTGACAGATTTTTTTTTTCTCTTTTCAACCTTTAGCAAAGCTGAACTATTTCCAACAGCCACAGGTTATCAAAGAATCTAATTTTTTGAAGTTCTCAGAGATTTTTTTCTTTCTTAGCACCGTCACAAGTCCAGCCATCATTCTCTGCCATTTACCGGGTGAGTTGAAAGAAAATAGCAAACAGTTTGCAGATACATCTTTACTAAAGCTATCTGTAATGAGATTGAATGAGAACAGATTGAAAGATTCTTATTTTTCTACCTCTAATCCATATTATCTCTCAACTCTTTTCATTCCTTATTGTGTAAAAAGTTTCTGATTAGTTTTCTTGTATTTAAAAATTTGGACAACCCCTTAGACAAAACTGGGTGTACACTAAGGAGAAGTATAAATGTGCCTCTGTGCCCTGATGATGTCATCACCTTGCACTTGGCCTTAGTATTCTGCAGTCACTTTGCCTGTGATTTCTCCACATTGTCTTTTCAGGCTGGTGATCCAATCCTAATCTACTTCAATTCATCATCTGTATTGAGCACGCTTAGACAGCCAGTAAAAATGGGAGCCAGTGGACTTTGTGTTGATGGAAATCCTGCTGGTTAGTAAAGGGGGAAGAATTTCTTAGGGTGGTTTGCTTCTGTTTTATCTGTTTGTCATGTCTTAACTCAGGCTTCCTGGACAGTAAAAGCACAAGCTGTACTCGGATATTTGCCAACTTGAGCAAGAGTTGCATTACTGACCCTGCCCTAGATGCTGCCTCCTACTACCGTGACTTCGCTGTGCTAAAGGTGCATGTCATATTTCTTCCTTTTGCTCAACATCTTATTTGCTTGACTTTCCAGTGCAACTTCAGCTAACTGGAAAACTAAAGGTCATCTGGTATGTCATCCTGATCTCCTGATTGTTAAGGCCTTCTTGCTGGAAATCTTGTTAAAAATGTCATGATTGGTGATAATCCCTCAATTCAAACTACTTTCCAATGTATTTCAATTAGCAAATTCCTAATGCATTTAACAGGTACTTCATTGATACTTCATAGTTTTAGTGACTTAACTGGAACTCTCTTGCATTTTAAACAGAATGTTTATCAAAGTATTTCTATGTGTTCCATCAACTTGATCAACCAAGCAATGCATGTTCTTAGTAAAGAATGAGAATTTGTTTTACACAATATGTTTATATCTAAAATCATACTGGTCTGTGATTTCTAGATCACAAATTGATGACAAGTTTTACACATCTGAAATAAACAAAATAATTTTTGTCAATATAATATGTAGGCTCTATTTAGTGATCGTTTCATGACCTCAGACACTAACTTGCAAACCCAGAAAATTTATTGTTTTTTTGGTGTTGTATACTTGTTTCTTTGTTTTCCTCAGGTCCCAATTAATGACACCATCGTGCAGTCCATGAAGGTCAGTCTCTGTTGCCAATGAAAGTAATTTCTGCTTCTTTAATAAAGCATATCTGGAATCTTAGGTGTTCATTGCAATGCCCATGTGTTGGGAACTTGGGAGAGTAGGAATGTTCTGTGTCTGAGACAAGTTTTTTTTGGACAGAAGTGTAACATTATAGAAAAAAAAGTAGGCATATAAGGAAAGATATACTTTTAAATGTATGGGCAGGAGTCAGGGAAGTAGCTTGTTTTTTAAGAAAAAATTAGGCATCTGGAGCACAGTGATGTGTCCACAGATCACAGCTACAGCAGGAAGTTAAATCTGATTTGGGTGGAAAAGAGTAAGAAAGGCATGCTCCTTTTAAACAATTGCTAATTGTTAATATGCTTACTGTTTCCAGATAAAGGTCACTGCAGTTGCACCACCTGGAGCTCCATACATGAAAGACGACACATGTAACAATGTTGTTTCTGAGGTATCTGAATCTTCTTTCCTTCGGGCAGCTCAATGCTAGATTAAAGTCATTGCCCTATTACCTGACTATGCCTCTGATTCTTCTCTAACTTGGACTTCCAGGTGATATATGAGATAGAATTCAGTGGCATGCGTGGGATTCAGAATGTTTCTGTCCAGTTCAAAGTGAGCAACATCTCTGGAAAGTCAGGATCCTCTCTACAGCAGCACTTCACTTTGCATTTCTGGGTCAGTGCCCTCATCCTCCTTGGGCTCTTACCAAGTTTGTAGTCTGTAGTTTGGGACCCAGTTTTCTACAGATGAGATGTGAAAAGATTAGGGCAGTGTCACTGTGGTATGGTAGCACCAGGACCCTGGGACACAGCTGATAGTCAAAGGAAGGTGGGAACACTGTTCTGGTCTCAAGTATACCATGTTAGTAGGAAAATTCAGGCTCAGTGCAAGCATGCAGTCTTGGTGCTGTATCTGAGGTGTTCAGTGTTTGTGAACAAAGTTACTGAATCTATTCCAGGTACTTACCTAACTTTGCCTATGCAGGGGGAAAAAGAGTTTGGAGGGGGTGGAAATCTGGAAAACTCTAATGTGTGCTGAAGTTCACATAAACCTTGTTCCATAGGGGCAATGTAAAGTGGGATAAGTGGTGACCTCAGAGACTGATGTGTGCAGTGCAGCCTTGCTGAAATTATCCCAAGAGGCTCTTTCCATAAAACAATTTAGAAGTGGAATCTGCCACTCAGAATTGGGGTCAAGGCAGGGTTTGTTCTGCAGATCACCTGTAGAATTGCCCAGACTGATATACTCACTTCTTTAGAGACAAATGCTGAGCAATAAGAATGCATTGGCTCAAGAACTGTTCTGGTAGTATCCACATTTCAGGGCATTGACATTTAGTTTTTTTATCTCCTGGACTGCAGATGAACTTGACAGATAAGAAAGAGGATTTGGCAACATAATGGAGGTTTTAGTAGTGCATAATATTCAGTCATTCAAAAAATGGGTTACATTTACATTTTTGAGAATGTGAACTTGATCTGAAGTGAATGGATCTCATCGGTGTGAATGTTTTCCTTTTCCTTTCTTTCTTCCCTTTGCCTCTTTGTAGACCAGGACTCTTTCTCATATGTTACCTAGAAGTGGAAACCCTGGCTATATCACTGGAGCACCACTGTTGATTGGAAGCAGTGGTGCTGTGCAGCATGTATCCTTTTTCTGCTATCAAGTTTTATTTATCACTGGGTTTATTTACTTCTGGTACTCTACTGTCTAGACTTTTGAGATTCTACCTTCACCTGTGAGGGTATACCTCAGTATTACCATCAGCAGGCCTTTTGGTCACAACTGAATTGTGACCAGCTGAACATGAGTCAGCAGAGTGCCCAGGTCACCAAGAAGGCCAAGGGCATCCTGGCCTGGATCAGCACTAATGTGGCCAGTAGGACTGCTGAAGTTCTCTTTCCCCTGTACTGGGCACTGGTGAGGCCACAGCTCGAGTGCTGGGTTCAGTGTTGGGCCCCTGACTCCAAGAAGGACATGGAGGTGCTGGAGCATGTCCAGAGAAGGGCAACGGAGCTGGGGAAGGGTCTGGAGCACAAGTGTGCTGAGTTCCCTTGTGGCTGAGGGAACTGGCATTGTTGAGCCTGGAGAAAAGGAGGCTGAGGGGAGACCTTCTGGCTCTGTCCAAGTCCCTTGGAGGAGGGTGGAGAGAGGTGGGAGTGGGTCTGTTCAACCAAGGACCAAGGGACAGGACAAGAGGAAATGGGCTCCAGTTGTGGCCAGGGCAGTTGAGATGGGATGTGAGGAAGAATTTCTTTGCTGAAAGGGTTCTGAGGCATTGGAAGGGGTTGCCCAGGGCAGAGGTGAAGTCGCCTTCCTTGGAGGGATTGAAGAGTCATCTAGACACAGTGCTTAGAGACATGGTTTAGCCATGGTTTAGGGGACTTGTCAGTGTTAGGTTAATGATTGGACTTGATGATCTTAAAGGTCTTTTCCAATCGAGACAGTTCTGTGATTCTGTGAATTGTAGTCCTGTATAGGGATAAGGAGGAATGTGGGATGAGAGGATTTTTGGGTGCCCTACATTGTCTGTTTATGCTTTTGTTTGGCTTCTTGACGTGCAGTCTGTCAGATGAGCATTTTGCAGAGTGAAGGTGATGGACGTTGCTCACAGTTCCTCAGACACACAGTACAATTTGGAAAAAATATGAGAACAGGCTGCAAGTTCAGGTAACAACATTCTTCATTCACCCTTCCTGACACATTTGGAAGGTGTGGACTTATCATGCTTTTCCATGTTCTCTCATGCACTGCTGTGGAGCCTAGGTCCTTCTCTGAGGTCACCAATGGGTCTCTACAAATCTTTCATACACTCCTAAAAGGACCTGAATATTAGAGAGATGGTGGACCTCTAGAACAATCTGAATATTGTGAAGGTCTTCAGGAACATTTTGAGGCTGTAATCTGGCAACATGTCTTGGGCAAGAGTTTGTATTTGAGGAGTGAATTATAACAGAACCCTAAAAAGTGATTGTTTGGATGATTTGGATCATTTTTTTTGCTGGTGACAGGGCAGGTATATGACCAATGATGTGATAGGATGGCTAAAGAGCTGTCAGTTTTCCTTACCCTGCCATGTTCCTCTTCTCCCTTCTCATTGCAGAGAGGACTGAAACTGCATACATTTAGTACCAATACTTCCTTAATGATTCTGTTGATACATTACAAGAGAAGAAGAAATATTCATTACAAAGCAAGGATGTTGATAGTGTTTTCTTCCTGTCCTGGACATCACTTTGTCAAAGCTGTTATTTTCTCTTTTCCAGCCTGTCCCCAATATTGGAAGAAAGTAACTGTAGTTACATCCAGCAGGAGTTATACAAGGCTCTTCAGGGGATGAACAGAGCAGAGGACCTTGCCATAATTGGCAGTGCTCATTCAACCCAGGCAGAAGAGTGGACGACTATTCTGATTCGGAACTGCAGTGTGCAGGTAATATGAATGCAAAAAGACCAGCTGTGAATATTTTTCCTTTCATGTCTTTGTATTGCCTTGAGGAAGTGTGAGCATGGGAAAAAAAGAGCTGGCTTGTTCCTCTGAGCTTACTTTCTTTGTGTGATGATCCACTGGCTCTCAGGGGGTTTAATGTCTGTAAGCAGTCGTTCTCATTATGGTTCATATTATTAAGATACTTACTAAACAAAAACAAACCCCTGACAGATTTAATATCTCTTTAAATCCTGCTATTTAAATGGGCAAAAAGAGTTTAATACTTAATCCAGTGTTGTATTGCCTAGTTTTCTGACAGCCTTCTAGAGCTAATACTACCTGGTTACTTCCTATTAATTTGATGCTTTTATTATTATCATCCTTTCTGATTTTCCAGTTTCTAGGGATATTTATATATTATCTAATAAGGGTAAAAGTTTGTAATCCAAATATTTGTGGAGGAGGGAAATTCTATTTTAATAATTATTAATCTGTCAGGAGATGGCCTAATAGAATGCAAAATCCAAGTTGTAGAGCTGAGACAAATTCTGTTTGGAACTGAGTTGACAGTGAGATGGATATAGCTCTGAAATGGGTGGTTGACCTGACTAGAAGTTAGGGGGTTAGGGCTGAAGTGACTAATTCAGGTTCTGTGACCTGTGCTATCCAAAATATTAGACTTTTATCATAATGGTCCATTTTTTCACATTTAAAATACTCTATTGAGATGTTTGGCATATGTTTTATTTTCAGGCTGTGAATTGCACTTCCTGTTGCATGGTTCCTGTGACCCTGGAGATACAGATATTGTGGACTAAGGTGGGCCTCCTGTCCAATCCACAAGCTCAAGTACGAGGTGGACGGTACTCTTACCAGTGTTACCTCCTGAAGGTATGGAATTTAAAACGCCTCCCTTACACACAGAGGTAATTAAATGGGATTCACAGGTTATTCAAGAACCAAGAAATCAAATGGTCTTGATATTACTGAGTTGAGATTTACTGAACTTTGGCAGTGGCCTGGCTGCAATGGCAAGAGTTTGTATTTAACAGCTCCATAGAGGAAGGTGGTTTTTTGGTCTTACCAGTACTGTCCTCAGTCAGTTGTACAACTGGAAAAGGTACCTTCTTTTCCAACCCCAAAATACCTTCTGCCACTTAAGGACTCAAACTTTGAACTTCTAATTGTGCTCAGTATAAAGTTGTAGTTACAAACATTCAATAACCACATGTTTATCTAGTTGTCTCTTAAAGCCTTGTTATGGAATTGGAGTTGATTTATATTTCACAGACTCAACAGCATGTTGATAATCTCTGCAAGAAGGTATTTGTATTCCTCTAGGGGTTCTGAAGTCACCAACAGATAGCTGAGGAAGAGTCTAATGCTGATGGCAGCAGATTTTAAGAATTAGGGATGGAAATGGAAACATTCAAGCTCAGGCTCAATGAGGCTCTGAGCAACCTGATCTGGTTGAAGATATCGCTGCTCATTGCAGGGAGCTTGGACTAGGTGGCCTTGACAGGTCCCTTGCCACCCAAACCATTCTGTGATTCTATGCAGGAAGGTGGAGCTAAGAGGTCTGCAAAGGAGATTGAATAGGCTTTTTTAAGCGTGTGTCAGTGGATCCCATTTTGGTGCAAGGCTGGATTCCTGACATCACAAAATCTTTTGGGCAGCACATGTATTTCAAGGCTTATACTTCTCTGCAAGGGATTTAGGGGGAGCAGCTGACACTTGCCCATGGTGTTCTCATGGCAGTGAGGTCTGAACTTCAGACTCAGGCTAGATGAGATTTTACATCACTTGTTTGCATGTGTCTCATGGTACCTCTTTGTCCTCCACTGCAACATACGTGAAAAGAACATGGTAGGAAAATGTTCACCTTGTAAAACACGTTGCCCTGAGGCAAGCTGACATCCCTGCTCCCTAAATCTGAGCTGTTATGCGGCTCCATCAACAAAACTTCTGTCTGGGGAGGAAGACTTGCATTCCTAGTAGAAGTACAGGGTGCATATCCCTCAGTAAGGATTAGCCAATCAATACCTATGAGGTTCAGATTTCAGCTGCTTGAGCAACTAATGCTAACTACTTTAGAGCTGTAAGGTATATTGCAAAGCAAACAATAAGAAAGCAAGTTTCTGGCAGCAAGAGAAAAACATGCCATTAAAATATGTACCAACTTCATCAGCAGCAATCCATAAATTAGGGTTATTAGTAAAGACATTTTAGCACAGGTACCAGTCAGTACCATACCCAGCAGTTAAGAATTGCAGCCATTTGTAAGCATACCAGTGAGATCACCAATGTCTGCTGTATATTGCTTTATTTTTAAATTGTGTCACTTCCCAGTTTTAGCCTATAGATTATCTATCTGAGAAGTATACATTCCTTAGAGAAAACCTTTTCCTTTAGACCACACTGTGTCACTGGAGAGTTGCTTTAGGGACTGACCAGAAAACACAAAACCCAGGAAAGATATCCCATTTTCTATACCCATCCACAATATCTGGTAAGAGTTTTAGTTGAACTTGACTGTAGTTGACGGTCTTACATGATGTAGAGCTATACAGGAAAATGCTGGAAGTTGCTGGTGGCTGTTTTCTCCCAGCTGTTGAGGAGGGGCTGTGTATGGGTTTTTTCCCCCACTGTTTTCCCTCATTTTAAGGCAGATTTTGAAGGTCCAAACACAAAGCCAGAATAATTCTGAGGCTTGTTGTTGACTAAGGCGATTATGCCTAGTGTGTATTTACTCATTGATAGAAATTATATCCATCAGGAGTGAAGGGGAAATGCTAATTGTAACTGCTCAGCAGTGGTAATTTGTG